GCCGGCTGAGGCGGGATCGGCCGACGCGGGAAACGCAGCAGTCACAATTTTGTGTTTACACGTTCATATTTCAATTGTTTACCAACCTATTTTCAGAATTCTTTCACCATAAGATTGCCTGTACATTTCTTAGTCTTCTCACAAAATTTGACGCGAATCGAACGTAATCAGCGGTAAGGAGCGCGATGTAAAGACGGAACCGTTCCGTTCCGTCCCGGCACAGTCTACAATTCAGGCGGCGAGTAGCGGTCGGCGCCGGCAGCCGAGTCGCCGCGTCGCCGCGGCGACAGGATGTTCACTTTACACCGCTATTACTAGAACAGTTGTGAACCGATTTTCTTATTGCTTGCACGATGAGATGTGCAATTCAATTCTGGACAGGTAGCCATAAGTAATTTCGCATCAATATTATGAGATATTGGCGAAAAACAGGAGGGGTGGGGCGAAATTCACTCTTCCCCCTCCACTGCACGTGCTAACATACGTTTGCATATGTGCCATTTTCTTCAAAACTTATGAATGGCCCACTCTAATTTTTTCACAGGTTGTTAAGAATATGGTAGGCAATAAAATATATGAAAATGAGCCAAATCGAAGGTGGCGTGTTTTTTGCTATTTCAATTTTTGTGCTTAAGAACAGAGTTAAGCAAATTTCAAGGTCATATATTTAAGTCGATGCAATTCTAAACAAATGCTTAAGAAATTACCTAAACAGTAAGGTTTATTTCATTCAAATCAAACAAGTATAACCAAAGTTATGGTCGTTCAAAAATATAAAGATGCAACATTTTGTAAAAATTTGATGCCCTATATTTAGAAGACCTGTGGTCAGAATGTGCAAAAAAACATCAATGTAATGTCCGGGGCGACACAGGAACTCGCTTACAAATTTATAATGAAATCGCTGATGGTAAGGTGCAAAACAGCCGATTTGTGTTCGATTTGACGTGGAATGCCCCCTCCGTTTCATCTCGTTTTGTGGGCTACTATTACAAGGTGGAATTTTGCTGCGTTGATGGCTATCTACTAGACTCCAAATTCCACTTCAATTGTTTTAGTCTGCAAGTCTACACCACCCTCTGCTTAGGGTCAAATCGCCCCGCACCCTTTGAAGCCGGCGGATTTGTCATGTGAGCTAATTGCATGTGTGCTTGGTCAGCCAGCAACCACCGCAAGGTGGGATTGTCCGGAAACATTCTAGAGGATTATTCTACAGTCAAAAGAACAAAGCAATATGACAAATACACGTTTTATTCCGCCTCGAAATAACTTCATATTCCACATGCCATTCTGGTAAATATTCCATAGCAACAGACAACGGGAAGACCCCACTGTTCTCATTTCTTCTAAATCTCATCGCCTGCATTCACGCCTAACATAAAAGAACGCATCGTTATTTTCTAATTGCACCATTATCGTCGTATTGCGACCGGGGAACACCATTCTCGCGTAGACTTAAGAGAACAGATATCACTCGCTTCGGCAGCGCGGATAATTGGAACAAACTACCAGCAGCCGAGGAGAGCAGAGATCGCCATCATTAGGCAGGCGATAATGACATGGAAGAGAGAATTTTGGATACGTTGGTGAACAAGATGTTGCTTCGGATGACCTGGGAATAGTGGCCAACAGTTTAACACGCGCAGTGGAAGGGTTGCGAGTACTACGCCCAGTGGAAGGGGGGGGGGCGGATGTCGCCCCCCCCTAAGATCTCAGCTCCCACTGGAGCTATAAAGACGAAATTTGGAGGGTAGGTGGGGGCCCAGGGGAACTCTGTTATGTGTGAATTTCATGACCCTAGGTCAATATCTTCAAGGTCAAATGAGGTCAAAAGTGGTCAAATCTGCCATATTAGCGACTTTTTTGCGTTTACACGCCGATAACTCAAAAAGTTACGGGCCGATTTTCTTTTTTCTTTCACTATACGAAAGAACATACATTTGTGAGTATGTATGGTGAATTTCTTGTTAATCCAACAATAAATATGGCAGTTAGAAGCCTGCTAAGCGTAAGATGTCGCCGGCTGAAGCGGGATCGGCGGACGCGGGAAACGCGGCAATCACAATTTTGTGTTTACACACTCATAACTCAAGTTGTTACCGGCCGATTTCCAAAATTCTTTGACCATAAGATTGCTTGTACATTTCTTAGTCTTCTCACAAAATTTGACGCGAATCGAATATAATCAGCGGTAAGGAGCCCGATGTAAAGACGGAACCGTCCCGCCCCGGCACAGTCTACAATTCAGGCGGCGCGTAACGGCTAGCGCCGGCCGCCGCGCCGCCGCGCCGCCGCGGCGGCAGGATGTTTGACTTTACACCGCTATTACTAGTAAAGTTGTGACCCGATTTTTTTATTTCTTGCACGAGAAGATCCGCAGTTCAATTCTGGACAGGTAGCCAAAATTTCACAGTAATATCGTGTTTGCGGCGCAAGTTATTGGCGAAAAACAGGAGGGGTGGGCGAAATCCGCCCCCCCCCCTTCCACTGCGCGTGTTAAATTGTGAATAGGCTTTTTCACGACGGGCTATCCGGCGAGTGCACCTAATTTGACCAAATCTGCACCTAATCTCTTTTACAGCAAATATCTGTATTTTATGAATTTGTTTCAGTGTTTTCATCGATGATACTCTCTGATAATATGACAAAGCAGGCATATAAGCAATTAGTGCAACTCTAGCTGATAGCTAGTAAGAGACACACTGAACCTGATTTGACCAAACCTGCACCTGATCTGTACCAGATGTGCACCAAATGTGTACCAGATGGCCGTCGTGAAAACGGCTAATATGTACGTACTGTTGAAGTGACGACGCTGTTTTATTTTACGATAGGGAAATGGGGTTGATAGTATATCAAAAGGCATGAAAGCCAATGGGCTCGGGCAAGTGCGAGGACATAAGTCCTCTCTCAATAAAGAATTGAAAACATTCGCGCGGCCCAAACAGTTCAGGCGAGACAGTCTTCAGGCGCGACGACCTTAGAAAAAAAATATAATGTCAGACTTGTTAGAGTCTAGACGTGTTTTTGGTATCTGGGTGGACCCCAGACATTCGGGAATGGATGGAGACATGCAGCTGATATCTTATGCAGCAACCAACAACTGCCATCAGTACAAATGCACTGCTCGGACCACAACATGGGAGACAATATCTTATTTTTCGTCCTCGGAAAAACGACCGTGTAATGGTTGGTTTTGTGATTAGACCGGGCAATTAAATAGATTTTAGTATATGATTGGCAGTGAGCACCAATCTGTCCATGAGAAGGGGTATACCTTTGGTATTCAACTGTCTTCAAATTATTGTGCACGATTATCAGGTTAACTTAAAGTGTTAATTAACATTTTTGCTTAGTTTAATTTCGACATCGTTCGTGCGTAGCTTGGTATGATCGAGCCCACATGCAGGCACAACCCGGGGTAATGTCGGCCCCACAAAAGCGGTTTGGGAAGTTGCGGTTATCTTTATTGCGACTGATAGCGATCAGCGCGATGTTCATAGCAATTCACATTATCACACTATCCGACCTACGTTTGACGCAAGGCTTACATGGATATGACAACAATCAACAATGCAATATGGCTGCACGATATGGGCTTTATTCAACATTTATTATTGCGACGACCAATTGTCATCTTCCTGTCATATACTTTAGCATGTTTCTACCTCAACGTTTAGACACCCATCACAAGAACACCCAAATGAAAGGCCACCACCGCCGCACCCCAAAAGGGCGATTTTTCAATCGTGCACGTGACTTCATGTCTGAACGACCGCAGACACGTATCGTCCAACTTTATTGGCAGCACTTTACGAGTAGGATTATGGCGCCGGCGTTTGCGGAAACTGTGATGAATTGCAGCAGTACGGCAAGGCCGTTTGATCAGCGACAAAGGGCAAAGGTGGCGCTGTACCATCTGTCAACATGAGCCAGACTGAGATAAATGATCGACAGTGATACAGTGCTATTGCCAGGCCCATGATCTGATTGCTTACAAGCTTCCCTGTCAGAGAAACAAAGCACCGAGGACCCGTTTATCGAGGAACGTTTTCCTTGAAAATAAATGCTGATTAAAATAAATAACTCAAATGACTAAATAAATAATAAAAAAGAGTCATAGAAATTGATGATTAAATTACATTCATGGATGCAACTATCCGCAGTTGTGTTTGTAGCTCCACCGCACATACGGCGCGTTTCGGGAGAACATCCAACAGCGATAAAGACGTGCCATGTTTCGGGGAAGTCACGCTAAGTGAGGTGGTCTCTGGAGGCCGGACGGCTAATCTCTATTCTCTTCTCTGTTCTGTGTTTTCCATGAGCGCAAGGCAGCACGTATCTGGCCCATAAGCGGTCGTTGCTTCGTTTTCGACACCTGATTTTACGAGTATAGTCCTCACTTTTAAACATGAGGTCAGAAGTCATATGCGCTTGTTTCAATGTGTCTGAATTTCATTTTTCGTTACCAAAGAACAGCGAAAAATGGCAATATCATTGTAACAGCTACTTTCTTCACAGGTGTAATCTTTCGACTGGAAACATCTTGCGGCGTCCTAGCTTTAGACGACAATCTCATCTGAGAAGCACAAGCGGCCCGGCTTTTAGAAGTAGCATTGTCGAGGGCAATGGAAGTGTAGCAGAAAAAGGCATTCCATGTCACTGTCGGAAACAAACGAATCTTCTGCGAGCGTTTTACCAATGACATCGACAACGAATTCGCCACTTACAGACAACATGACATTTATTGACGAGACGGCATCATCAGTTCATGAACCACTTCAAGGGATGACGTTCCCAAATGATCTGAACATCTCATTATCTCTTCCCACCCTCCACCCATCCTCTTCATTCTTTTCCACGTATCCCAACTCATCATTCCTCTCATCCAGATTCAACACAGGAAACTCCTCTTTTGCTGACGATCTAGAGAGCACGCTTGCCGATCTGAACGCCTCCCTACCATCCCCATTACCGGAGTTCCTGTTCAATGACGACTGCTTGACCATACCTCTTCCCGATGACCCTGTCACACTCCTCCGCGACTGTGTGTGCACCCACCCCAACCTCACCGTCGCACAGTTCCTCCAATGGCGCTGCGACCCTCCCGAACCTCCCTCTGAAGTCGGCTTCACCGTCATCGTCTGGATCAGCTTCACCATCCTCTTCCTCGCCGGCCTGATCGGCAACGGGCTCGTGTGCTACGTCGTCTACGCGGCTCCGAGGATGAGAACCGTGACAAACCTCCTCATCGCGAACATGGCTGCAGGAGATCTCCTCATGACCACCCTCTGCATGCCACTGACGGTGGTCTACGTGGTCCTTCTACGCTACTGGCCGCTTGGGGATGCTCTGTGTCGGCTGGTATCCTTCGCGCAGCCAGTGTCGGTGTACGTCTCCGCATACACTCTTGTCGCCATCGCAGCAGACCGATACAGAGCAATCGTCTACCCTCTGGTGCCAAGAGGATCGCGACGTCGTGCGAGGGTCGTCATCGCAGTGGTCTGGACGCTGGCGGCGGCGACGTCGGTACCAGCGGCGGTGACGTCTCGTACCTTTGTACCCCCGGACCCGTGGTACATGATGCACGAGAGACGGGTCTGCCAGGAGGTAAGTACCGCGCAAAGTTGGGTGCCGATAGTTTGCTGGGCGAAAAGATATGCTTAGCTGGTAACCGCCGATTGTAGGTACTGCGCTCACGGTTACCGGTGTTGAAATCTTCATTAAAAGCTCTGGTCGAAGGCATTAAAAGTCACGCTAAACGCTCCTATCAACGGCCGAGGTTATGACTTACACAACTAAGCTAGGTCTAAATGTCATTAACAGGAAATGTTGAGAACTTCGGATAGAAGTTCAATTTCACCTTGTCTTTTTACGTTTCATCATGCTCATCCCGTGCAAAAGAAGTCAGGGCAGTTCCCCTGCGGTTCTACTGATCCACCGCTCCAACCAACCCTTGCACATCTGACGCACCTCCTCCCCTCCTTCCCCCTTTTCCAGCGGTGGGAGGACGAGGGTCGTCGCTACTACACCACCGCAGTGCTGCTGCTGCAATTCTTTCTTCCGGTGACAGTACTGACCCTGACCTACGGTCGCATAGCCGTGGAGGTGTGGGGTCGCGGCGGACTGCCCTCCACGCGGCAAGACAACCGGCAGCTAAGGCTGGCCAGGGCGAGACGAAAGGTAGGTGCTTGGACGGGATGGTGTGTTTGAATCTGAGGGTTTTGAAAGGAGAGTGGAAGAAAGGAGTGAGTGAGATGAGTTTATAGGAAGAGAGAGAGAGAGAGAGAGAGAGAGAGAGAGAGAGAGAGAGAGAGAGAGAGAGAGAGAGAGAGAGAGAGAGAGAGAGAGAGAGAGAGAGAGAGAGAGAGAGAGAGAGAGAGAGAGAGAGAGAGAGATGATAATAGTGACGATGATGTGATTCACATAAACCTGATATGCCTCGCAAACCTATAGCACCCTTCTATTTTTGCTCAGCTAGCAACACAGTAACCATGCGGCAAGAATAACCCAATCAGCCTTCTACAACATGATCTGGCTTCTCTGACGCCGACGGTCATCATCTGCGCGTAGCAGCAGCTCAAGTAAATATTAATTGCCTTTTCACTCAGTCTGAATGCACCTAGCTAGAGCTTCACGCGAATGACTGCTTTAACTTTTATTAAAAAATGATGCCCTGTTTCCGGAAATTTTCCATTTTCCTAAATGATGGGACAAAAACCATCAGGCATGAGACGACTGGCCAATGGCGGCATCTCATCAGGGTGAAGAAGCACCATAAACCATATCATTTGGCTTTGATAGAGCGTCTTTAGCTCACAGATTCTTCTGTCAGTAGCCGGCGACCGATCAGATATGATGAATCGTTGCTGTGATTCGTCGAAATCGTCTGGCCAAAGAGCGGCTCAGTCGGCTGGGTCCATCGACCCTGGGGAAGGCAGTCTGATCCTGGGGAGGGGAAGCATCGCTGCTAACAGCAGAGCGATCGGGGATGTTCGAAGGGGGATTATGACGCTTGTGCCGCGCTCAGCCGGCGGCGGCCGAGGCCGTTCAAGGGTGTTGAAATGGGTGCTCGTAGTTAGAAGCAGGGGTCTCGATGGAGTACCCTAGAGGGTTACCAAACCTAACATACACGCTCTGGCGCGTTGGATGTGAACTCACGAGGGATTCAGACAGCTGCCCCAGCCCCGGTCTCCATTCACTGGCAATCACACAGCAGACGCCGATCGGTCCGTTGCAGCCCTATGGTCGAGTCTTTCTGTTCTCTGATGTCTATTGTGAGTATCCTCTGAGCTCTGCTCCCTATTGTCGGTGCTCGCTGACTGTGGGCGGCCGAGTCTGTTTGCGGTCTGTTCGCCACAGTTGAAATGGTCTGCCATTTCAGAATCACGTTTAGATAAGCCACTCATGTCTATTAGAACGAGCGGTGACATTTCAGAGAAAGGATTGTCGTTTAAACTCGCATCGGATGCTGCTGAGACATTCTAAAATTTGTCGTTGGTGTTAAACTTAGCGGTGCAATAGATTTATTTATAAAAAAAAAATTGAAAAAGAAGAAAGTCGTAAAAAGTGTGACCTTTTTCTTTCCGTAAATACATCGTAAATTCATTGTAAATAAATACATCAATACACCACAACACAATATTGTAGCTCTATTGACTTTCGAGATCATTACGAGCATGTTCAGAATAAATGATGCTAAATTCGCGGTCGGCACCGATTGAGAGTCGATTGGAAGTCGGCTGGGAGTCAAGTTGGAATCGATTAGGAGTCGATTTGGAGTCGATTGGGAGTCGATGTAAGGGACGTGAGGTCATGCATGGTGAAGGGGAACGGCAAGAGATTATGACCCCCCACTAGGCACCCAATGTCACACGGTCTAAATGTCAACTCACCACTGGACTGGGCTAGTAGCGTGAGCGCGGGTCATTCGTCATTCGATAATGCGCAAGAATCGCCCAGAGGTCATGCATTGTTGCCACTTGTATGCCAATCAAATGATTGTGCCATTTTGGTACGTACCAAATAAATGCTACTGCTGCCCGTCACGCCACGTTTTTTGTTTTACAATCGGTGTGGCATTGGTAAAACCATTGACACCATAAATTTGGCTGTCTGATTACGGATTTAATTTACATTCTGTCGATGGGATAACGAGCACCAGTGCGAGCTCGCCTGCACATGCACTGCAATGGATTATCTGCAGCTCGCCAATTAAAGCACCAGCCGAAGATAATGCACACACACTGTTACTTCCAAGAAGTATTCATGTAAAAACAAAACTCCAATCCAACAAAGGTACGCGAAACTTTTATGAAACTCTACTTTGTAGTTCTTACTTCTTAGAAAAGTGCACACAGCTTCATTAGGGAAGTCACCGAAGCGGTGTGTAAGAAAGTTTAGGCACAAAAACACACTGCAAACAACACTCGCTAAACTGTTCATACCGAGATGAATGGATGATGAAAGTATATACAGGAATACAAGAAAGTTTGTCCTTGAAGAAAGTGGGTTTTCATGCTGTATTGCACTTTCCACGATCATAAGTGATCCACACAATGCGAGGCGACTTATGCAGCAACCAACAGTTGATGAATTAGTGATGTCAATTACGGAAAATCGGAATACCGATACCAAGCCAAATACCAACCAAAACCATGGGGCAATACCGAAGCCAAACCAACTTGGAAACATGAGGGAAATACCAACTTTTTACCAATTTCTCAGCCACTTATACATGAGTGAGGGGTCATGATACCAATTACCAACAAAATACCAAACACATTAGGATTCAAATACCAAATACCAAGTTGGTATCGGTTTGGTATCGGTATGTATACCGAAAAGTTGGTATCCGATTGACATCTCTATGATGAATGCCTCAAAGCTCGTCACGGCGATTGGTGCCCCTCCTCCAAAGTTCCCCCACCTGCACCGGCCCCACCCCACCGTTAAGCTGAGAGTTTGTCAACGAGTTCGTTCATGACCCAATCGACCGGTTTCTACCCAAACAAACAGCCATCGAGCTGAGCACAAACAAAGCCGTCGACGCGGCTCAATAGGGTGGAACAGGCATCAGCCGCTCGAGGACATGGTCAACATTCTAAGAGATTAGTCAACATTCTTGGAGATCAGTCTCAGGCTCAGAAGATAGACATTCGTACCAGGGATGCGGAGCCGTGAAAATTTCAGACAGCTCCGGCTCCGGCTCCGGCTCCAGCTCCGGCTCCGGCTCCGCAACCCTGATTTGTCCCCTTCTCTGTATCGCGACAGAATGTATCGAATAACGCGGAGGCATTTTTTCCTACCATGCTCTATAGCATTGTCGGTGTTTTTTTTTTTATAATCAAGCAGAAAAGCAACTAACAATTACTGAGAAAAAATACCAACATTGGCTGCGTGATGTATCCGCTGGCAGCAAACCGAACTTGCAATGCTCTCGGCGCTCACTTAATCTTATAATGTACTTAGTCCGTTTCTTAACCCTCGCACGTATGGAGGGGGGGGGGGGTCGAACGGACCCATCGGTTTTTCGCGATTAGCTCGCGTAAAAAGTGGCTGATCGCGACGAAACTCAGTACCCTCGATTTAATCAGTTTTACACCTACCTTAAAAATTTCATGACCCTGACCCATATGAAGCTTGACCTGGGACCTATTTTTCGAAACCATGTTTGGCCGGAGTCGCGATTCGGCCTATGTCGGCTCGCATTAGCCGCACGTTTGCAGTCTTTTCGTGGATTCAAGCGTCCAAACATGTGACATGATGTTGTTTCCATGCATTAGGGTGGGTGTCAGGGTCACCTGAAGGTCAGGTCAGGTCAATGATCTTTGATGACCTCGGTTCACTGTTCCGAGTTTTACATGCTTCTGGGCTAGTTTTTGGACCTGAATTCGAATTTAGTAACCATTTGAACAATTACGAAGTAGTTTTGGTGCCTTCGTAACATTCACCAAGCTGTCAGAGGCGCTTGAAACCTACTACGGATACCCGGCACTACGAATGGCCTAAATGCAGGAAAAAATCATATGTAATCAAAACTAAAGTGATATTCGTGATCATCACTCCGAAGAAAAACGTAACAGCCACACTTTACGACAATCTAACAGAACAGGTCCCGATATTCCCGACTTTTTGGTTATTGACGTGACCTGGAAGGTCAACCAATGACCTAGGACTTTAAAATTGGGAGGGTTCTTCCTCTCGTCACGGGCAACACCTCGTTGAAGCTCTAGTTGATCAGGAGCCAAGCGGCAAGGGGTCCAACGCCCCCCCCCCCCCCTCCCGTATAAATACATGATACATACGTTCGCGGCTGGCAAAACACCAATATGGGCGAGGGTTAACGATATCAAATCACTTTAAGTGAACACTGCACTAAGACGCACTGCACAAAACGAACAAGAATAATGAACAGACTGTCAAATCAAGAAGCTAAAGCAGTGCAGCGAATGCTCCCGCCGTTTACAGTTGGTTTTCATCAGAAGCAATCAAAAAGCACCGCGGGCACCCGTCTACAAAAATATGAACTTTGGAAATACTTGATACTTGCACTACCAACTTGACTGGGCGGCTTTTCAACATCCACGCCGTTCCGTTAATTCGTCGATTCGTGGAACTGATTGCCGTGTAACTGCACTGACACATTGAAAAACGTCATGTTGAGGCATTAACGCAGTGATTTCTGATAATTCTCGAACGCGTGGGAAGTCACCGGCCTTACTCCGATAAATTTTCCTAGAAATCGGTGTACCAGAAACTTAGCGCTGCCTTATTGCACGATTTAAGCTGTGATCAGCAGCTCTTTCAGCGGAAAATTGTCCATTATTTTGCAGCTTTACCCGAGTGTTTTAGTTCGCTCACCAGTCCTGGGTGACTGACCCAATGAAGCCGCGGGTATAATTCCCAGAATCATCGTAACTCGTAAGACACTAACGTTTGCCTAGTAACTGTGACATCCGTTTTACTGAAGCCTTCTGGATAAAACAGCCATAATACGCGTAAAAAGATGTGGAGAAACTATCAAATCGGTGTATTACCTGATGTCATAAGCTGTTAGTAGGTGAAGTCCGTTGTCAACGGCCTTTCCATTTTATTTAGTTGAACATTATTTGGATAATCATCAATTGATGTTGTTTTACGCTCACCATAAGACACTCGTGTCTCCTGAACTCGGCATGATGTAATAAAACAAGGCCTAGTCCAATACACCTACCAACCATGTTCAACATCGATCATATCTTTCATTCTACTCACGGGTACCTCATTCATGACGAAACTTTTCTTTCATTTACCCCTCACGCACCTCATTCTTTTACCATCGCGCGCATCTCATGGACCTAAGAACTCAATCCCTCCTCCAACTCAACTCCTTCAACTCACTTGAACTCCATTAAACTCACCAGAGGCTAGTTTTGCCAACAGAAAAATAGCTGCCCGCCGGATTTTTTTCCCTAAAAACCGCTTCACCTACGGAGCGTAAACGCGGTGCGCATGTAAGAGGATAGGATAGCGCTTTACCGTTTCACTCTGTAGGTGAAGCGGTCTTTATGCAAAAAAAAAACCGACAGGCGGCTATGTTTCTGTTGGTAAAACTGGCCTCAGCTCGCCCTTTCCACCCCTCCTGCGCGTGGTGGGTGGCGGAGCGCGCCCAGCCGGACGACTTTTCGGCACCGGCGGCGGCACCGGCGGCGGCAGCGGCGCTGGCACTATCAGCGGTGTGGCTCCGATCTGTTTAAAAGGCGGCTCGGTGCGGCCCCGTCTGTGTAGTGTTAGTGATGAAATATTTATACGGGCGCAGAGAGGCAGGTGATGGTGATTTTGGTGCTCCCAGGAGGTAAACGCGACCCGGGACGGCGGACAGAGGTGGGAGAGGGAGAGAGGGAGAGGAGCGGTGGGAGGTCAACCGCGTCAGATGCGTTAAAATACATATACAATCGGCGGATGATGATTGAGAATCTCAGTCACATATCTGGCTGTGGCGTAGATTGTCTGAGGAAGGGTTGTTAGATGGTGTGTCAGCGGGGACAGTAACGCGTCAGAATGGGTTGAATGTGTCACACGGGGTCACATAATGTTAAGTAAATGTGAAACAAGTCAGGCACTGAGCTGTGAGTAAATGTGAAACTGAGCAGGCAATTCCTGTTCAGTAGCGTTTATAGTTCATAGTTCAAGTAAAATGTGTTGCTGTAATAGAGTGAGGCCATGGGTGTTACACAGTACTTCAGTGTCTGATTCTTAGATTGGTGTTCTAAATTACGAGCACATTTCTTACAAGTTCCAGCCACATATGTTGAGAAGAGCTTCAAATCAGTTTTGACATTATCCGGCCGCAACTGACAGTATGCCAATCCATGATAAAATCCAACTATCAACACTCTAAAACACCATGATGATAGAGTACCAGAGTGAGTCACGACTGACATATACATCCTTGTGTTCTGCAAAATAACAGCAATAAATCCGATCGGGATGCTGTTCGTGGTACTGTAAATGTCAGTATGTCTGCACATATTGTGAAACATCCTCCATTGACAAATCCATGACGCACAAATGTGTTTTCCGGAAGCGCGGCTGGATGCACGCTGGTGAAAATCCGGCTGGGGCTTATGCAGTTGTTGGCATCAGCAGCCTTCCTCCGGCTAGCTAATGCCGTATTCATGTCTGACATGTGCCTTTCAGACTGTTCAGATGATGGTGATCGTGGTGGCCGCCTTCACCATTTGCTGGCTGCCCAATCACGTGCTACAGGTTAGTGAACACGTGCCGTCACAAGAATCGCATTATTTGCACTCATTCTAATTCTTTATTATGTACACACCACTACAACAAAATAACTATATCAATGATTGTTTTTTGGCAACCATGGCACAAGCCATTACAGGTAATACAATATTTAACAATATCGTTCCATTGACGCATTCGTCTCTAAAAGCCGGAGCTCTCCGCTCATAAAAAGAAAATAACTCGAAATAAAAGTGCGTCATGCGTTTACAGTAAATGGTCTGCCATCACTTCTATTTTGATACGTAATATCACGATTCCTAATTGGTGGACACACTGTTGCTTTATTCCTTTGATTGCTCACCTAACCAAAGGCTGACTCACCCTATATACGGCCTTGGACTCACCTTTAACTCATGAATGATCAAATTCGGGCACCTGGTAATGATCGCATTCACTGTTCGCACGCGAATTCATGATCACTGATCCCCCTCCCACAGATCGTATACGACATCCACCGGTGGGTGGGGGAGTGGCCCGGAATCGGCTACCTCTACACCGCTACATACTGGCTCAGCATGGCCTCGTGTGTGTGTAACCCCATCATCTACTGTGGGATGAACGCCCAGTTCAGAGCTGCCTTCTCAGCTGTGGCCTCCAGGTAAGTGGCAACTACTGCTAGGACGAATCTGCTAAACCATCGTGCTTTCGCAGCTACTGCCTTGAGTATAATTTATTGCGATACCGACATTGAAAAATGAGTATCAGACGTAGCGAGCCGATTCCTTAGAAAAATAATTTATACGGTAGACTGAAATAGACTGAAATGGACAACTTTGTGTCTAATAGCTGTTCAACTAGCTGAACTTGTAATCAGTGCCTCCAAATCCTATACACAACGCTGATAAAATAGGGCCCCGGGCACTAATACATTTAGCAAGTCTGTTCTGTAAGAAACAGTCGCATCGCACCGCAGCGCAGAAACAGAGTGAAATTGGATGTGTAGCGGAAGCGGATTGAGATATGGAGCTCCGATAACCTCAGTGGTGCCCTGCGGATAAACGCGTGTTTTATTTATCTCCAGAAGAGCCCCCGGGACCGCAGAGGCGGCACGAAATGTGTTCTATTTTCGACTCAGCCTCGGTTGGGCACGTACCACGCCGAGGGCGCAATCGAGACAGAACAAGCATCGTGACCAATGGCTGATCTCGTGTATTTTTTGTTTCTGTGGTAGCATAAATTGGGTTATTTACGATGTTCACCGTTGTTCCACTCAATGTATTGTGCATTGTGCATAATGAAGCAGAGCGTACATGAGTGAATGCATAAATAGCTCTCACTGACATGAGCTGAACCTGCTCTTGGCATTGACCTTTGCATCGCTACCTATTCCTCAAACTAAAGGACTACGTTGATGGCTTTTGCACAACCCTGACTAACGTTTCCTTTTTACAATAGATGCCCTTTACCATTGCCCGAGTTTGACTGAATTGGGTAAAAACCATGTTGCAATTCATAATCGTGTTACTAGTATGTACTATGCAGCTAAATCCCAGCCAAGTCCTGCCAAAGTCTATGTTTTGGCAAGTAGCCCAGGTTTTAATCTTATTCTTCTAAGCGTCCAATGCTGGATATTTGACCTTAGCTTCATCCCACCAGTAATATCTAAATTTTTATTTCAATGTGTACTTCAGACTCCAAGCTTATTTCGTCACAAGTTTTTCCTTCCGACCTCATGCGTCCTGTTGCGATTGTTGAATGAATATCGATTTGATTGGCTTCAGCCCACCACCACCATCTCCTTTGCACGGCGACTAACGAGGGACTCAATGCCCCAATGCCCCAGCAACAGCCTGGTTATTTAAATTTAACAGAAACACCAACTCTGATTGGGAAACTTTGACCAGACAACTTGAGAAGTACTCGACCAGATATTCCATCAGTTTGTTCTCTAACCCACGTGCGGTGTCAAAGAGGTCACGTGCACAGTTTCAAATTCACAGTTTCTATCCGGCATGCCTGGAAATGAGTCCCCAAAGTCCTACAGATTAACTATTTCAGGAATTATAAATGTCAGAAGATCAGAACACCTGATGCTGCCAATAAACGTCACACTCAACAGCTGCTCGTCGAGCCTAGAAACAAGCGTATTGAATCGATAAAGTGAGAAGCAGGCTAGCCAACAGAAGTTCAGGAAACTTGATAAATAAATTGCTTAACGTTCGATCCGATATTTTGACAGAACATCAGCTTAGCAACCAATTCACTGAGATAAACTGGTTGTGCAGTGTACTCGTATATGTGTCTGTTATTGACAAGACACCTTTTTATCATTTGTATTCTATCACCATTCACATCATTTGTAGCGTTCCTAAGATACCGCTATAAGATCGCAAAAACCACATACCTACTGAGCGTAGCACATTCTATGCATCATTGGGATAGGCATGCAGTGTGGTACTGTATATAATTCTAATTGTAGCATTCAACACGTCTATCAACACGTCCAGTATCTCAGCTCCCATTTGCCACCAGTACTGAGTCCCCGCCCTCCCCTCCCCCCGTCGTCCCACGTCGCCAATATTATTCCCCAGGCTCACAGCCTCTGACCTTCCACCCCTCCCCTCAGAGTCTGTCTCCGCTGCCGGCGTCCTCCAGCCGCCATCAGTCGCGCGGGCAGCAGCGTCCGCTCGCGGGCCACCTCCTACACGCAGTGGACACTGAGGTCACTGCGCCTGCGCAGATCCAATGGCTCCGCCCACTCGTGTCACGCTCCGGAGCCGGCTGAGCGGCCGGCGGCGCCGCTCAACACCAAGTGAGAGAAGTCGCAGTGAGACGAGAGTATGATTCTATACCAATGATAAATGGTTGAGATATTATCATTATTTATGTATTTTACACATTTACATTAGCAAGAGTATTTTATGCGCCCGTTTTCTTCTACTATTTTCACCTGCCTCAATAATAGCTGCATTGATAATGTTTGGAACAGCTTTCACGTCACAACTTAGGCTTGAATCCCTGTTGAAATACTATTCGTGAGTCGTGTGCTTGTGACCAGCATGGGATACTTCTCGGTCACTCGGTGCTACCGCTCTCCTATTTTTCCTCCTGTTTGATTTTCTTTTTTTCGAGAGTGCTGCGAAGGGGTGCTGAGCGTTGGGTCATGTTATAAAAGAAGAGAAACTAAAAAAGTGGCACCAAACGTCACGTTTGGTGGGAGGTAGTCCCTCCCTTTGTCCGAACACAATCCTCACACTGACCATCCCCTTCGCAGCACGATCGAACACGGCACAGTAGAAAACAACACCTCCTTTTTCTTGCTGCCTTACTTATTGATAATAACTTTGGAATCGAACTTCGGCGGGTGTCTCCTCTAACCGGATCTCTCTCTCTCTCTCTCTCTCTCTCTCTCTCTCTCTCTCTCTCTCTCTCTCTCTCTCTCTCTCTCTCTCCCCCCTCTCTCTCTCTCTCTCTCTCTCCCTCTCTCTCTCCACAGAGCGGCTGTGCAGGGTTCGGCCGCCACCGCAGCTCTTCCTCTCAGTTTGGACGTCACTTGCGGCCTGAGTTCATCGGATCCAAACTCACCGAGACCACTGCGGCGGCAGTACCTGGCACTCTCCCGTCTCAAGAGTGTCCAGTGAGTGACGACTCTGCTCGACAGAGGAGTGTTCGGTATACGCGGAGACTCTCATGGATGAGGAGTGTCCAAGAAGCGGGTCGGAGTAATCGGAGTTCATGGAGGGAGTAATTGGAGGACTGTCCAATGTCCAAGGAACAGCGCCACCACAATGGAGGGAGTAATCGCTCACATGCGAACTGTGAAGAACTATTCAAGGAACGGTGACATTTTCGTGCAGGGAGTAAGCACTCACTGCCTTTGTTGAGGCTAGTGTCCTATGAGTGCAGGGTCTTGCTGATGCGCAGGACTGGCCGCTGGGCCCCATATAGCTAATCGAGAAGGTTTGCTTGGATTATGCCAGTCCCCTGGAAGTTTTTTTTTTCGAGTAAGAGGATACGTCGCAGTTTTTCCAAACAGCTCAAGTGAGTCCGATTGGAGTGAGCACGTCGGCAGTCTGGTTTTCAAATTTCAGGAAAATTTGCAAAACGAAATCAATAAGATCATAAATTTCAGCTTTCTGTTTGGAGAATCAGAATCATAGGCACATAACTTGTTGGAACAATAACTTGAGCTGTCCATTGTCCATGGCAGTGTCAGTGTCATTGCCAGTGCCACTGCCCACCGCCAAACCTCAGAAGTCTAAGCGTGCGTTCGACATCCGGATAATCAGGGAAATTTTCCGGGATCACCGGGATCTTGTTTGTTTATTGGGGCTTTAGGGCGCGTCGACTGCAAAGGTTATTTACAAAAAGAAATCAGAAACCGGGATCATTCGGTGTTTTAGGCTGCCACCGTGCACTGTGTACAACGGACATGGCAACGAGTAAAAGAGGAATTGTTGAAGCAAAAGCAATCTAAAAATGTGACTAATTGCATCGATGGTCTCTGCAACACCCAAAAATGACCGGTGATCCCGGAAAATTATCTGTGGTGATAATCCAGATGTCGAACACAAGGTAAAATGTAAGTAAGCAGGTAAAATTCTTAGAAGTTATTGGAGCAAATGTCATCACATGAGAGCCTGAGACTGAATGGGGAATGACCCTAGCTAACCACTTGTTCAAAGCGGTTTTCCCTATAATTTGGTGATAAAAGACAAATACCCGATCTTAAACTATCTCAGTAACAACTACTGGTATGTACTATGTAGCTAGGAAGTCAGCGGGCTCTATACAATGTGCATTGTGTGGAATGTTGTAACTGTTTTTGGCGGAAAAAATCGGTCTGTGTGCGTATTTATTTTCGTTTAACAAATAAAGTCATGCAGTATCTTACTATCAGCGATATTCTTACTGATGTTTAAGAAGCTACCCTACATATGTAACTATTAGGTGGATGAATGTTAAATTTAAGTTGAACAATTGATTGTTCGATGTTCTCTTCTGCTACATGTTTGATGTATAGTGTATATCAGTCAATGTTGAAGATTTACTTATAATACGAGCTATTTGTTAGGCCATTTCAAAGCAAAAAAGGATGTTTTCATGAGTCTATACTTTCATAGACTCAAAGGACGATCAATTTTTATGTACATATAAATACAAAAATGTCAGATAAGTCGGCAAATCATTCGTTTGCTGTTTACTGTTTTGCGCACGTTTTCATCTTAGACACTTGTATGATAATCGTCATTCACCACTGTTCACACAAGAATAGAAACACTCTTGTCCTAGTCAGTGAATGGCACGGCTTTTCCTGTGATGTTAAATATATATTCTGAAATATATGTTCTCAATGTATGATGTAAGAACGCACGGACGTCAAGCGTGTTATTTACAATCCAGGATGCGCACTTAACTAGATAAATAAGATTACATATCTCAGGGAATTTTTCATACAACGGACATCAAATGGGGAAAAAAGGATAAATATTATTTGATTTTCGAATGCGTCGTGTTGCATTTATTCGAAATCAACCGAACGGCATTGGCTGATTACACTGTACATACTTCAGAGGAATATTCACAAAGACATCAGAGATAACTTATAGAACCAATCACGCTGGTAGGTATTTGTGGAACGCTGAATTACAAAAAGTCATGCAGTTGGTGATATGCATCAATAATCACGCGACAAACGCAATACAGAGCCATCTTTGCACATGTCAACTTACTAACTTCTCGACTCTGACCCCGGAAAAAACTCAAAACGCCGCTAACTGAGCTTGGCTATAACAAACATAGGTTTTGGCAGCCCCTTAACGTTTACCGAGCTACAAATACGCGTCCTAGGGCAAAAGGCCTTTTGCGGCGCCCAAGTAACTACTTGAAATTGTAATTCGAACAGGTTGATTGTCAATGGTCATGCTATTTGACAGGTCACATATCACATAAGCTTTTATCAGGACACAAGATAAGACAAGCCTTTCAACTCGTGTTTTGAAATACAAAAGGTAACCGTAGCTTGTGAGCATTCATATCCCGTGTTTAGTGCGTGGGTGTTGAATAATGCCGTAGTGATGCTCTCTGCGGCTGGGTATGGGATATGTTAGCGAGAGCAGCGAGCTCTGTGGTTCGGACGGACCGACACATCTGCCCTCTAGCGTGAAGCGGGCGAGCTAGCACGGGCGACCTTCGTAGCACAATAAAAGATCATACTGATCATTACTTCGGGAGAAAGACCACTGACAAGGGTAGGCCAATGTAAAGATTAGGCATCGAAGATGTTCTACGTAAGTTTAGAAAGAAGGCAGAACATGTGTTCACCCCTGTCTCCCGCTGTTAAACGTAAAACGATATCACAAAACAAAAGGTATCTGTCAGCATGGGCCCTGCAGTCACCTGCTCTGCCATTCTCAGCCCTCTGAGGCAAGTGCTGGAGTCTTGGACATAAGCAGTCTACAAAACCGGTATAAATGACTCAGCTGTTGGATAATTCATAGCACTTCCAGTGTGTAAGCTAGGCTACACATCGCAACTTCTAGCTTGGGAGGGAAGAAACTTGCATTTCAGAAGTGTTTTTCCATCTCAGAGTTGCAGCTTTCTGGGATCACAGCGCCACCTGCACTGCACAAAGCCTAGCCTGAGGCGGCCTCTGGTGCTAAACCCATGGCATACCTGCTAGCGGCTAGGGCGCCATCTGTTGTGCGTTACGCTGTCACCGGAGTCTAATATCATCATATGGTGATCATCAACCTTGATCAATCATCGATATCATCATAAGGTGATTGGATTTTATGCCATTAGCGCAGCAAATGTACGTTGCCCCCTCCCCCCACACACCTTGGACTTGAGGGGTTCCATGGGCTGAAGGTCCCATGGAGGTCCTGGCCCGTGGGACCCTCCCAAACTCTGGGCGCTTACCAATCTCTGAATTCGCCACACGGGGCTCCTGATGGCATTGCGTCGACGCCTGAGTGACCTCACTGATCACTGAGCTGTAACTAGGGTACCTAGACGCCATCCTAGATCTCCGCGTCTACGTTTCTGGAAAGATCAAACCGGCAACTATGAGGGCCGAGCATCATATCCCCTGAGAGCCCCAAAATGGCGTCTCTGTGGGCACATACAGTAGAGCACTTCATGGGCCGGATAAATCCGTTATCCACGGATAAATCCGTGGACCGGATAGGATTGGATCCCAAATTTGGAAAAATAGAACGGATCTGGGCGGGCCGGATTTGGGAATTGAATGTTGAACACGGATCAGAACGGATAAAATTGTAGCATTCAATATTCATGTTAAGAATTAGGTAACTTAACTTGTTAGGCACTGCAGCAGAAGTATTAATTGATTTACATGAGATTTATAAGCATACCTTTGTGAGCCATGATAGTCTGTAAGGTATATGGCAGCACCAACCAAATTTTTAAATATAGATGGTCACAACATAAAATCTGCAGACTCAGCCATGTTCCTAACTGAGGAAGCAAGAACAACCGCCATGGCATCATATCCACCATGGCTCGCTGGTTCCTGAATAAGATACGAATCATGTAAAAAATGTGTTAATAACTCACTTGTCCTGAGAACAGTCCCCATATAATATGTATAAAAACGATAATGCGTTCCCGAATTTTTCAATCTTCCAGACAGCAACAAACACAGCGCAAGGTTAGAAACACATGCGCAATAACAGATGCTTTTACACAGCTGAATAAAACGCTGCAAAAAAAGTTTTTAACTTGGCGCAATGCCTCGTGGATGATTTTTTTAGAAATAAAAACGATCCAAGACGATATTAAATTCTGATGTTATCAACATTTTCAGTGTAAATGACGCCAAAAAAATATTTTCTGATCAGAAATTCAACTTAAAGGGTAAACGAATCAATATTACGTCATCAGCTCGCCTATTTCATAAAGAGAGAGCGGATCTTAAAAAAATCAATCCTTGCTTGCTTTTTTGCGCCACTATCGTCAATTTTGTCTGTGTATTGTGTTGTGTCGTCTTGTTGATACGACAAAATGCCGGTTTAACTTATCTTCCTTTCATTTTAGGACCAAAGTCAGGCTCAAGGCTATTTAATACCTACCTTTTCAGCTGGGTTTTCAGTGTCAAATTCTTTGTAGAGTGTGTCAGACCACATTCCAAGGCTAGTTTCCAAACAATGTGTTTTGAGGTGTTTTGATTCTGCCTTTTCCCATATAGAATGTTGCCAATGTCATGAAACTTTATTTATTCATTGTATTATACTTATTATTACCTACCATTTGACTTACTAATTGATTGTGGTTTTGCTATATGAATAAGTACTCTTCCTTTTATAGACCACAGTAGATTCTTAACAATTCTAATGATAGCCAACCTTGTGAAATGCTGAGGTCCATGTCAATGTGTTACCCCTATCCTTAGCAATGCAGCTTTTACCACAAAATGTATTTTGCAGTGGCTAAGATTGCTGTTATTACAATTTGATAGCTTCCTAGTGTCCAACGTTTGGATCTTATGGCGATATGCTGATAGTCTCACAACCGGTTTGTAATGAAACGGATTATTATGGATATTTTTTGGATGTATGGCTGAGATACGGGCCATGGGCGGGCCGGATTTTGAAATTCAAAGAAACACGGATAATGGGCGGATCTGGATATGACTTGCCGGATATGGGCCGGGCCGGATCCTGAAAAGCCTATCCGTGAAGTGCTCTAACATACAGGCCTCTGAGGGCACCGACGCCTCTGGGCGCCCCACATTGACGCCTCTGGGGGCCCACAACAGCACATCTGATGACTGAGGGCTCACACCGGCGTCTGAGACTCACGAGAGCACCACGCCGATCTCCGATATGGAATACCGGAAAGTGTTGACGGGGTTTTCCTTCCGGACGAGGTTTCTCGTTTAGAAAGGTCAGAGCAATTGAAAATAAAGCATATAATGCCGTTTTACATCAAAGTTACATACTCATTGCATGATTTACTCTTGTAAGGCACAGCCATCGTCTCACTGTATGTAAGCCTTTCGTCTTCTTTTTTTCGTTAACCGAGAATAGCACGAATGCTTATTAGAGGTGGCAAAATGTGGACCCGGGGACCCGGTCTATGGAACCGGTCTGGACCCGGATGGGTCCAGACCGGGTCCCCCAAAATATTTGGCCGGGTCCAACCGGGTCCTATCATTTCCCTGCGCTTGATGGTAAATATTAAATTAATATCTTTTATGCTTTGGCAAACATAGTCATAGTTGATGCAGTTTCCAGTTCATAAGTCCCAATTCCACTTTTGAATAGTTTAATATTCCTGCAGATTGGGCTACCTATTCTATAGCATACTGGTCAGTCTTGCTTCAATTTCTTATCTTGTCACCTACAACAGAATAAACAAGTTCTAAGTGCTAGCAATCCAGAAAACATTTCACCAAATGTTTGTACGGATCACTTCCATTCAGTTTGCTGTACAAAACCTAGCAATATTTTGAGCTGTAGAAATCAAATACCAATAACTATGTAGGTATGACTGAAATCCATTTATAAATGGACACAAACCCAATTGAAGCAAGGCTGACCAGTGGCATTCTCACCTACCTTTTCAAAGACATTGACATACCAAAGTCACTATGCCCACCGGAAATCAGAGTTCATGTTTGATATTCAAATATGAACTAATTCAAATATGAGTTCATGTTTAATATTCAAATGCATTTCATAACTCAAACAGCTTTGAAATTATTTCTATCACGGCCAGAAGACAGCTCAAAAACCAACATGCCCTTTCATAAATCCATAAAGCTTAAAATGAATCCAAGGCATTCTCCAGAAACTGTAGTATTGATCAGATTTTTAGCCAACTGGCGCCGCATGGTGGCGCTAGCAGAGCGTATTATACATATAGCGCTCTACTAGCGCCATCATACGGCAGCAGCTGGCAAAAACTGAGTCAATACCAATGCCCTTCTCCAAGGCCAATGATTCCGTCTTGATGTGAAAATGGCGCATTTGAGCGTCATATATGCTATACCTTACGCACGCTAATCTACTGCATAAAGGTTACAATTTTAGAACACGTTTGGGAAGAAATCAGGTAAGTCTCAGAACCCTTGGTATTTATTCCATATCTAGGTACTAACAACAAAATGTAGTTTGTTTTCTACGTTAATAAATTGGCACTTAGGTCATGATAGCAACCTTGCAGTACTTAAAAGTTTATTGCCATTTGCTATTACGATTTTGCAGTACTTTAACCCCAACAAAATTTTGCAGTGATTTAACGCCTGTTTTGTCCTTGCATTGCTATCGTGTCGACATTTTTGGCGGACCCCACAAAGTTTTGATGTTTCTATTTTGATTTT